CACAGAGAATCTGAACTCGATCTTCCCCGACATCCAGTTCAAGATGGAGGAAAAAAGACTGCCAGTTGCCGTGCCTCAACTTGCTAGTGTGCAGAAAAGGCGGTGTGGCAGTCAAAACAACAGTTTACAGGAAGGCAACAAATACCTCTCGCATCCTGAGTTACCTCAGCAACCATCCCGTCCCGCACAAACGCAGCTGCGTGCGAACGCTATATCGTCGCGTAGAAACCCACTGCACGAACCAGCCGACAAGATGGCCGAAGTCCAGTATCCGCGGAAACTTTTCATAATTAATGGATATTCTGGCGCATATTTCGAAAAATGCAGGCGAGGAGCAAAACGAAGAAAGCCAACGGGACAGCCAGAACCAACACGTTGGCGAGCAACACCTTATACTGCTGGTGTATCTGGAGAATTCGCTCGACTGGTCAGCGAATTTGAGATTGGCGTCGCTCGCAGACCGGAAGCAACAATCCACAGGCAACTTATGCGACCTATGAACTCAGTACCCGTTAGCGAAAATCTGCTGTCATTTACCGCATCGACTGTCTTTGTGGTCATGCCAATTATGTTCGCGAAACCGGCAAACAGGTTCTCACGAGAAGGCACCAGCTTGAACTCGCCATGTGACGGAAGGACAAGCTTTCCCTGGTAGCCGCCCACGCATTCAAGCGAGGGCACGGCTTCGACTTCGAACGCGTGTGAATACTGGGTCGGTCAGACGACCGAACTTCACACTTGCTGCAGGAATCATGATGGTCACGCGCGGATTAAATTAACAGGCATATCGATTTTCCTGATGCCTACCTCGCGTTGCGCAAGCAGATCGAGGATAGAGGTCAAGGGCAGAGGTCACTCCCGGCAGATCTAAGTTTAATACGCAGTGAGCTTGCAGGGGGTTTCGAAACGTTCGACAGAAAATGTTTTACCTTCTTCTATAAATAGTACTGACTAAAGCGAAAATACCCATCACCAGGCATAAATAAGGAGAAGAGGAGGCGATCACGGGTAAAATAGGTTTAGTGTTCTGGTAAGTTACCACTGGACCACGGACTCATTGGTAAGAGCGCCGGATTTTTAACTAACAAGGTCGTGGCTTCCAGCCTCGGGGGTCGCCACCCCTGGGGTTGGGAATGGCTCGCCGATGACGAGTACTAACTCAGAAAGACTCGTCTATTCCATTCTCCCTTGTATTTTTGGTAATGTATTTCTGCCTAGAATACGCTAGCCGTTGATCGGCTGCCAGTCGGACTTAAGAGCGAGCCCTACGGGACGAGTGAGTTCCGTAACCGATTGGTGACCGCCTATCTACCATTATATATGAATAAATGAATTGGAAAATGGGCAGGCTTAGAATTATAATTAGATGCAAGAAGTTCTTTGGGAAAGGATAACAAACTTTATTGTGAAAAGTTCCGACAGTGGCTCACTTTATACAAGAACTTCATCCATCGAAATATATTTATATGTATGCTGACAGATAGGCCTTCACTGATCAGTAACAGGTCCTGCTCGTCCCTTTTGGCTTTGGGCTCACTCTCGAGCACCGCTACATTTGTCGATAACTGCTAATGAGCCAGAAATGGCCATCCCAGTATCCCTTGTCTTCGTCGGTAATGTCATTCTACATTCGGCCTTCCTGATGTCGATGGTCTAGTCCAAAAATTCAATACGGCCCACGCAGCACTAACATTTACAGCTGAAACGGAGGAAAACAACGGACTCGCTTTCCTAGACGTCCTCTTACACAGACAAGAGGATGGCTCAATTCAACGCCGAATATTTAGAAAGAAAACCTGGACGGGGCAGTACGTTAATTTCCACAGCTTCGTACCCCTTAACGTCAAGCGAAACTTAGTCCAGGGAATGGCAGCCATAATACGTCGTATCTGCTCTCCTGGAATAGTGGAAGTAGAATTGCAACAGCTACAAAACACACTCCATGAAACCGGTTATCCAGAAAGGTTCATCCTTCGGAACATCAAGGAGCATGTCACAAAGGCCGTAGTTGCAACGGCGGAAAAGAAAGATCTATTCATAAGACTGCCGTTTAAGGGAGACGCAGCAAGTGAACTCGTTAGACGACGCCTGAGGACAGCAGTCACAAGTGCCTTTCCGGCGGCAAACTTACGCGTACTCTTCACAAACCCTCCTCTTCTACGAATGG